CCATTGTTGGTGCTGTTGCTGCTGCCTCTGCAAGTTTGTGTGTTTCTTATTCTATTTCAGGTACTGGCTCTAATACTTGAATAATTGACATTGGTGCTTCTGATCATATGACGTATGATGCTAAATTTTTTCATGAGTTGTCTAGTAATACCCGTGACCCATGCATAACTAGTGCTAATGGCTTGCCCTCTCCAATTACTGGTGAGGGCACAATCTCTCTCACTCCTACTCTGTCTTTGTCTCGTGCGTTACTAGTTCCCCATATCCATTGTAACTTGTTATCTGTTGGTTGATTACTTGATACACTTATTGCTTCTGCTACTTTCTATCCTACAGATTGTTCTTTTCAGGATCTCAAGACTCATCGTGGCCCTCTTTAGACCTAATGTGGTTTTCAATTTTGGCGACATTAGTTGAAAACTCTCTTTGACGTATAGGAAGGGTTTGAAGAATTTGTTTTGTATGGTAATGGTTGTTTGCCAATTTCTTACGTTGAGTACTTGAAGGCGATGTGGACTTTAAATTAAGTAGGTCAAGTCCTCTCCTGGTGGCATTAGTGGGAATATCTCTTAATACCCAATGAGTTCTTCTCTCTAGTTTCATTAGTGGGAATATCTCTTGGACGAATAGAGGGGTTTCAATATCAATAATTTGCATTGTGTGGTTGTTGTTTGCTGACTTCTCAATTTGCAGTGATGTGTGCATCCTTTCGAAGCATCGTTGCTTTTATACATGTATACAAAGAGCTTGAGGGATTCATCAAATAAGCTTACTTAAATCCGATATCATTTGACTACTCAATTAAATTATTCAAATTTTAAGTACTTTCTTGAAGCACAATGTTCAATGATTTTGTTGGTCTCAATTAGATGCCTAATGATTTTCAATTTGCATGAATTTTTGGAAGGATGATCTATATGAATGAAGATGTGAAAAATAGATGCTTTCAATCGTTGAAAAAAATTTCGTAAGGAACCTTAAGGGTCTCCCTCAAATAAATTACAAAACCTTGGGGTCTATTGTGGAGTTTGCATCCATCATCACACAACCACTGCCGAACAATAAAATTGTTTATTTACAAACTGAAAGAGAAGAACTAAATCTGAAAAAGCATTGACTACATCCGTGAGGTTTTTTACGGCTGTTAAAAAAATCATGACACATCCTATACACCTTATTTCAACTCTGCAATAAACAAGTTGTAATACATTTGCAATTTAACTCGACTGTCTAAAGTCGATAACGCAACCAGCATGGATATTGGCAAGGCAAATCAGATATTTCCTGTGCTTGAAAGCGGATGATATAATTTCTGGTCATGACAGATTCATCTAACAATTTTTTCACATAAAAACGCTGCACTGTCGCTGGATGGACCTCTTCCATATAACATTGGAATGAAGCCCTGAAAACAAATGAGGGGGACTCTTGGGACTAGTTGGAAATCATTACATTTATCATAGACTTTCAAATCAAAAACCTGGAGATCACTCAAGGGCATTTGCGGCATTTTCAGGGAGCTGTTGCTGTTGTAAAATGGACTTGTGCTGAAGCTCACGCCATTTGTTGATTCCAACAGTGCAAACCAGATCAGGTTTCTGTTGTCATCCCACTGCTCAAGCTTAAAAAGACAACAAAGGTATTTGTATCTGTTTCTTAAGAACTGTTATCTGCTAGCATAGTTGTTTAATTATGTTACACATTTGTGTCTGGCTCAACACACAACTATTTCGAGGAGGATGTATAGGAAACCCATAGACTTCATAGAAGAAATGACAACTGGTCTGATTCCATATCTTGGCTTTAATTAACACATTCATCCGATTTGCATCTTTTTAGTGTTTTTTGCTGTGATTTCTCACCGATTATTTTTGGGAAGCTCTCCAAGTTGAAATTTGTGACCCTTGATTTCAACAATTTAGAAGGTTCTTTGGCCCCATCTTTGATGAATTTCACAAACCTTGTAGAAATACTTGGGATCCAATCCAACCACTTGGAAGGAGATATCTGCATGCTTGATCCAGACTTAGTCAATAACTTTACTGGTATGTTTCCAATAAGCCTTTACTCATGTAGGTCCTTGAAAGCAATCTGATTGACTTTAAATCATCTAGAGGGGCAAATACAACCTCAGATTCTTTCCTTCATTTAAAGCCTTTACTCATGTAGGTCCTTCCTCTCAATTGGTTTGGTGGCAATAGATTGACCAATGTCACAGGAGCAATGAAAATACTAATTCGTTGCACAAGCTTAAGTCTTCGCACACTCTTCCTTTCAGAATCCTTTATAACTGCATCGCTTTCAAGCTAACTATAAGAAAATTAAAAAAAATTAAATGCAAGTGGTTGGGGCTCATTTTATTGCTATCAATATATTTAGCAAGTAGTTGTTAAGTTGTGCCCACTCAGAGGGTTGAACGTTATTGCTCTACCAAGAAACGTTATTATAGTAGTTTCCTTCTTGTGGGGAAAAACAACGTTATTATGGTAGTGGCATCCTTTTCAAGCATCGTTATATATATATATATATACACAAAGAATTTCCATTGAAGGATCCATCAAATAAACTTACTTGAATCCGATATCATTTGACTACTCAATTAAAGTATTGAAATTTAAGTATTTTCTTAAAGCACGGAGTTCATTGATTTTGTTGATCTTAATTAGATGCCTAATGATTTTCAATGTGCATGAAATTTTACAAGGATGATCTATGAATGAAGATGTGAAAAAAAGATGTTTTCGATCGTTGAAAAAAATTTCGTAAGGGACCCTAAAGGGATCCAAGGGTACTGATATATATACAAACCTATGAGCAATGGCACATACACAAAGTAACATGCTAGTGCAAGCTTATAACCTAATGGCTCATGCCTTCCTTCTCTTCCTCTTTTTCTCTTACATTATATCTGCAAATATTCATGGCTGCAAACAAACTGAAAGCAACTCCCTCTTGTCCTTTGCCTCCGCTCTATCTTCTCCTCATTTAAATTGGACATCCATTGATTGCTGTCGTTGGAAGGGCATCACTTGTGATCAAGATGGTTGGGTCACCCGTTTGCTCTTACCTTCCAAAGGGCTCAAAGGAGGTATCTCTCCCTCTTCACTTGCAAATCTCACACATCTCACCCACTTGAACCTTTCCCACAATTTACTATTTGGTTCACTTGAAACTCAATTCTTCTTGTCTTTGAATCGACTTGAGATCCTTGATTTGAGCTATAACCGTCTTTCTGGAGAGCTACCACTTTCTCTACCATCCAGCAATATCCGGACAGTTGATTTGTCCAGCAATCACTTCTTTGGTGCAATTCCATCTTCATTCTTCCAACAAGCAAGCAACTTAACTAATTTCAATGTCAGCAACAATAGATTCACAGGGTATGTCCCATCCTCTATTTGTCTCCAGTCTTCTCCCTCTGTTAGGCTATTAGATTTTTCTTCCAATGTATTCAGTGGCAACCTTACTCTAGGGCTAGGGAAGTGTTCCAAACTGCAGGTTTTTCATGCCGGTCATAATAACCTCTCAGGATTATTTCCAGAAGATATTTATAATGCTACCAAACTTGAAGAAATTGCATTACCTTTCAATTCACTACAAGGAGCCATTAGTGATAAAATTGTCAACCTCACCAACCTTGCCATCCTTGACCTCTCCTTTAATCATTTTGGTGGCGAGCTTCCTCCCAATTTGGGAAAGCTCTCCAAGTTGAAGTTTGTGACCTTTGATTTCAACAATTTAGAAGGTGATTTGCCCCCATCTTTGATGAATTGCACAAACCTTTTGGAATTGCGTTTAGGATCCAACAACTTGGAAGGAGATATCTCCATGCTTGATTTTTCCAGGCTTACACAACTTACTAAAATTGACCTAAGGGTGAATAACTTCACTGGTACGCTTCCAGTAAGCCTTTACTCATGTAGGTCCCTAAAAGCCATTCGGTTGAGTTGGAATCAACTAGAGGGTCAAATACAAGCTAAGATTCTTTCATTGAAATCCTTGTCCTTCCTCTCACTTGATTGCAACCGATTCACCAATCTCACAGGGGCAATGAAGATATTGATGAGTTGCAAAAGTCTTCACACACTCTCGCTTTCTGGTTCCTATAAAGGTGAGGGAATGCCATCTAATGATGACATGGTTGATTTTGATGGATTCCAAAATCTTCGGGTATTGACTTTGGCAGATTCTAACCTCAATGGTCAAATACCTTTATGGTTATCAAAGCTCAAGAATCTAGAGATGTTGCTATTGGGTTATAATCAAATCACAGGGCCAATTCCAAGTTGGTTGGGGACTCTTCCTAGGCTGTTTTATATAAACTTGTCAAACAACCGAATTTCAGGTGAATTTCCAAAGCAACTTTGTAGACTACCAAGGTTGCTTTATGAACCTAATATTACATCTCAAGCAAACCAATATGAATTTGAATTGCCTATCTACGTCCGGCGCGTCAACCAACCCACAATTCAATCTTTTCGAACGCAGAAATTGTATTTTTTTCCAGCAACGATAGACTTATCTAAGAATAACATTGTTGGTGATATACCTACTGACATCGGCCAATTGCAGCTTCTCCAGTTTTTGGGTCTTGACTCCAACAACTTCTCCGGTGTCATTCCAAACCAAATATCTAACCTTAAAAGTTTAGAGGGTTTGTACCTCTCCATGAATCACTTGTCTGGAATAATCCCATCATCATTGGCGAGCCTTAATTTCTTAAAAGAATTTAATGCCTCATACAATAATCTTGAAGGACCAATACCAACAGGCACCCAGCTCCAAAGCTTCAATGCTTCAGCCTTTGAGGGGAATCCAAAACTTTGTGGTGCCCCACTTCCAAATAAGTGTGGACCAAATAAGGGCATTGATGCAGATAAAAAGAACAACAAAGACATGCACAATGGGCTTCATCAACTTCCATGGTTTTATATTTTCACTGCATTGGGGTTCATAGTGGGATTTTGGGGAGTCTGTGGTTCTTTAATTATTAACAAGACATGGAGCTACGCATATTTTTTATTCATAGACAATCTACAAGGTAAGGTCTATGTGATGGTAACAGTGCGCATCAACATGATGAAAAAAAGGCTTAGAGGCTAGATATATATTATTAATATTGTACTTTTTATTTTGCTTACTCAGTCCAAAGATATGAAAACTGATGCATATGCATGTAATACGGTTGTCAATTGTGAAGGATTGATGTCTATGTCTATGTTTTGGATTGGAATTCCCTTGCTGCTGTGCTTTGGCATGTGGGGCTCACAGGTTATGTTTGAATATTGAAGTCTCCATTTGTTTTTATGTCTTTTAACGTGGTGCATTGCTTGTTGACATTAAGGAGCGTATGCTAAGCGCCCTCATGCCTTGAATCATTTAGCATCAAAATATTTGATATCCTAACTGATCATGCATTTCATACGCTGACAAAAATTTGTGGACTTTGTCTATACACACGAGGAAGAAACACATACATATGTAGGTGTGCGTTCAGGGCTTCTAAGCCAATGAAGACATTCAGAATTTCATTTTGGAGTGGAGGAGCTTGGGCTAGGGAGATATATGTGTATGGGAGCATGAGTTATATCCCGCTAAAAAATGATAAGAACTACACCCTTACTTGTCTGTTAATATATTAGTATCTCTATAATAACATATGTTACCAATATAAGAAAGAACATCTTATAAGAAAGAACATCTTCAATACACATATATCTCAAGATAAGAAAGAACATCTTCAATACACATGTGTATCCAACTTACCTTGCCAATAGTGGGCTGAAAACGAACATCTTCAAGATTCACCCTCGGTCTTTGTGGATTGTGGGGGTGGTGGTCATCTTTTCTACCCTGGTGAAGATAGGAGCTGTAATGTTGCCAGCCAGCTATTTCGATGTGCCTCTGCGCCAAGCTTTTGTGCTTGGCCTCATCCTCAACTCAAAAGGCATCACAGAGCTTGTCATGTTCGACCTGTTTAAGCAAAGCAAGGTCTGAGTCTCAATCACTTGAAACTCTCTAATTTACTTTTGAAGTTCTCAGCATCACCTTCTCCATCCATTGGCCCTTACAGATTCTGTGTTGTGCATTTTTCTCTAACTACTTTGAGTGAGTACCAATGCTAATCTTGAATTATATGATGAATTTTTTTGTTACAGGTTCTGACTGATCAAGAATTTGCGCTGGTCGTGATCTCAGTGGTGCTCATAACAGCAGTGGTAACACCCTTGATAAGATATCTTTATGATCCTTCAATGCAATACGCAGTGACGAGAAGAAGTACAATCCAGCATTTGAAACGTGAGTCGGAGCTCACAATCCTAGCATGCATCCACAACCAAGAGAACGTTCCCACATTCATAAACGTCGTGGAAGTATCAAATGCTACAGAACAGAACCTTGTTGCAGTCATTGCCCTCGTCCTCACTGAGCTTGTGGGGCGAACCAACCCTATTCTTGTGTCACACCGTCCCTATGACACCTTAGACAACAGCTCGTCTGGCCATATTGTCAAAGCCATGAGGCAATACGAGAAATACAATGAAGGGTATGCCACCCTTCAAGCATACACTTCCATCTCGAGTTATGTAACAATGCATGATGACATTTTCCGGTTAGCATTTGAGAAGAGGGTAAACCTTGTGATCATGCCGTTTCACAAGCAATGGGCCATAGATGGCAACATTGGGTCAGTGAACCGACCCCTCCAGTCCATGAACATCAATGTCCTTGAAAAGGCACCTTGCTCCGTTGGAATTCTCATCGATCGAGGGGTCCTAGGCGGGTCGGTGTCAATGCTAGCCAGCCGGTATATATGCCATGTTGCTGTGATCTTCATTGGTGGTGCAGATGATACAAAGGAACTGGCCCATGGCTCTCGCATGGCAAGGCATCCAAGTATGGACTTAACAGTTGCACGGTTCCTTCTCTTTGGAGAAGAAAATAGTAAAGACCGGAAGCAGGACTCTGACTTGCTTGAGGAATACCGGGTAGCCAATGGAGACAACGAGCGGTTTGTTGTTGTGGAGGAGGTGGTAAGAGATGGAGCACGGTTGTCTGTTGTTATCAGATCAATGGTGGATTGTTTTGATTTGATGTTGGTAGGGAGGCACCATCAGGACTCTCCACTTCTTTCAGGGCTTGGTGAGTGGAGTGAGTGCACGGAGCTTGGAATCGTTGGAGACATGCTTGCTTCCCTGAACTTTCATTGTTCAATTTCTGTATTAGTGTTGCAACAACAGAGAATAGGAGGAAAACCGCTTAGAAACTCTTCGTCTTGTCTTGGTCTTCTCTTTCCTTTTCAAACTTAGTCCCATTCATTTTTGCCCTTTAGAAGGGACATACTCGTGGTCGGATTCTGCCGTGGATTTCAGACCTTGTATTTTCCGGATGGGGGATTTATTTCCTAGGCATGGTTTTACAAAGACCCTGCTCTCATCAGACATGTTCTCTAACCCTAAGTTCATCATTCGTGCCTTTGCTCGTGTTGCTGTTGCGTTGAATGAGTTCAGAGATTGTGTACTCCAGAAAGATGGTGTCAGGTATGTTTATATGTATTTCAGTTTCTTGTGAAAAGATCATGGAAACTAGTTTCCTTAGGTTTGGATTGGAGAGCAACGCTTTGAGTATATGTCGAATCTCACAATGAAAGCACCAGCAAATTTCCTCTGGGGAGATATTCGCTATGAACCTCTTCTTCCTCTATCCTTGTAAAATAAATGCGGTCAATGGAGAACACTCGGCGGTGTTGGCAAAAGGCCTTCCGATGCCTAAGTCAGTTAAATGGTCTTAAAAAGATGCAGCTTTAACTGAAAGGATGGAGCTTTCTCTTCCAGGAAGAGAAACAAGGGGTGGTGCGAAGCCGTGAGAGAGAGAGAGAGAGTTTCTCTAAGGTTTTTAGAATTATTCAGAATTACCTCATGTGTGGTGAAATGCCATCTTTATATAGAGTCTCCTTCTTTCGTATGGTTTTTGGAGAATAATTCCCTATTGATGAGAATTATTATTTTCCTTAAATGAGATGACAGGATAATATCAATGAGATTTATTGGGAATCAAATCCTTGATTTAGCGAGATATTCATATCTCAAATCCAGGATAATTGGCTAATTAAATAGGATTTAATTAGCACAATTATTTGACCTAAGGAATATTCCATTCCTTTATCCACGTATCACCTTCTGATTGGTTGCCAAAATTCATGTTCCCATAGTAAGGTGAATAGAAAAAATACAAATTTATAAATAAACCCAATCCTAGACATGTATTTATAAAAAAACCCAAGCACTATTTAAACATATAAACACACCCAAAA